AATTCCAACCCTAATTTTTCACAAAAAGTACAATCACAGGCACAACTGGAAATTTTGCTTCCCCAACAAACAAAATAATTTTTGCACTTGTGAATAAAGCATAGGCAATTCTGATTTCATTTATTGTGAAGAAGTCCCAGGCAATGTTAAGCAATTATAGTCAGGGCCCAGGACGTGACTCAACTGCAAAGTTGGGGTGGGAAACACTCACGAAACAGAGAGAGCAAGTTTGTTTATAGTTCAGAATGACTGAGGCCCTGAGGGTATAGAAAGGGCTGAGGCTGACACTAGTTGAACTCAAAACTCAGAAAACTGTCATAACGTCCCTTGGTAGGCAGCGTAGCCTGCGTAGGCGTAGGCTTACATGTGCGTGATGTCGGCGGTCGGCCTATAAATAATGACTCTAAATTTTGGGCTAAAAGGTTGTTCTACAATGGTGCCGGTCACACCAGTCAGCCAGTGCAGCCTGCAGACATCTCCACAGATGACAGATGTAGCCTGTAGGTGACACTGTGACAGCCCCGGCCATTGGCCGGCCCCCGCAGGTTCAGAAATCAGGACTGCACAAAACTTCAAGTCATTCATATTACTAGGACTCTAATATAACCTGTTAATGGTCTTGCCTGTAGGCTGTAGTTGTACAGTGTACCGGAGCAGCTGAGCGTGATATGGTTAGTTAGCCTGTTAGGACTTATCACTTACACTTAGGCAATAGGCAGGTCACAGTCACACCAAATTCCGATCAAAAGCACCACTGTCACTTTCATTAATATTCGGGCGTTTTAATAGGATTTTTCCTTAGTGGTTGGTACAAAAAGTTTGCAATGTCCTCTCAATTGTGGAAAAATGCAATTAAATAGTAGTCTGATGAAGTGTAAACATATTGCATACTAGCCGGTAACTCTCACGCACCAGTCACCACGACCACCTACACTTCTTCGAGTCCGTGACGAAATAACTACTTTTGTTTGTAAAGTGTAAACATGTTTGAAACGGTGCGAAAGTCTTTATTTGCAACGTCGTTGATGAGTAGATCAGATGTTCATGACCTAGCAAAATTCGTTCAGTTAATGAAGTATTTTTTTCGTGGAGGATTAAATCAGTCAAGAGTTTTAAAAATTTTCATACGACTATGCAATACAAATTCGATATAAAATTAAGTCAAATTCATATATTAGTCAATAGTTATATGATATAATTTTTTTAGAATGTACCCTACAACTGGCTATTATATATAGCGGTTTCAGCGTTTATTAGGCCGTAGGCCTGTCGCCGATTCTTAACATCGCAGAATATTCATAGCTTATGCTGTCTCGAACGCGCAACTCATTGCTACAATTCTGCTATGCTTAGCCGCCCGGCCTCCTCACCGATTCTGACCAGAAACTGGCGCACACAGCTGGGATCGAACCCACGCCTCTCTGCGCCAATCTTGGTACTCTGAACTTTAACCACTGGGCCACCCTGCCCAGGACTAAAGCCCTGCCCCTGCTATTGACTAGTCGAAACTCAAAAGAAGCGAATTTTAGCACATTATCCTCTTAATATTTTTTCGCAATTTTCGTTTCTGCAACAATGCGAATTGTCCATTCACACGGTTCTTAGTTAGTAGCTAGCGTAGTCCAATTAGAGCAGCCACGGAGTCCCAAATAGAACGTGACAGTTTCAACTCAATCTAACCTAGATAATTGGAAAAACTTGCCTTATTTCTCGGTAAAAGTCACACAAAATGATACGCGGCCGGGTGATTAAAGTTCATAGCACGCAGCTATAGATCCTAAATTCGAAACCTCAGCTAGCTCGAGAGCCTTGCAGACCGGCCGTAAAATTATCCGATATGTGGGAACCAACGCCTATCATCAGCATACAATAGCTGCAATAAGCCGCCGTCTACGCTGCAACACCAAAAAACGGACCGGGTTCACACTGCTTGAAGAAGCGATGCAAGCCATGAATCCACTTATCAGAATGGAAGGCCAGCAGACTCACTTCGCCGATTGTAACCGCATCGCCCTACCTCCACACTTACCCCGCTACTCCACATACTTCCTCCCAATGACATGCTCTACCTCCCTCCACACTTGCTCTGCTTCTTCCGTCCGCGTATTTAATGAGGCTAGGTTAGGTCCGGTTAGGTTTATCTTAGACGGAGAGTCTCGGTAAGTGTGAAGGTGGGGCTGCGTTGCGGCTACTTACTGCTGGCGGACGGGAGCGCAGCCGTGCACCACCAATTTTGTGCACCAATAAGCCCTGAATCGAACGCCTTGGATCTCTCCGGACCTACACCAATCAGCCGTGCACCACTCGGCTTTGTACTCTTCCGGCCTTGACCACCACCGGCCGTGCACCACCAGGCCGCGGATCGAATATGACTTCCGGGCATCGTTAAATTACGTAATTTTTCGTTCACCCCATCTGAGGTTAGGTTTCAGATAGCATTGTTCTGTTCCAAAATTTATCGTCCTTCGACAAGTGGCCGTTCGACCGAGGACTGGTTCGACCCACGGCCTAGATACGGACGGCTTGAAGTGTTGGAGGCTACGTTCCGGAAGGCAGGAATCATGATGGTCCATTACATCCAGGGCAGTGATGGTCTTCGGTAGGCGACCCAGGAGCTGGAATTCTGTTCTAACCGTTGAGGCAAGAGGTTCCTTGTGCTGAGCTCCCGTGACAGTAGCCGGCTTCGGCCGGCTGCTACGTCATCTTTCTAGAACTATATTTCTCGAACTTTGAATATGCCGTACTGTCCCGCTCCGAGGCGTTGAGCCGGCGGATGCCATGGTACGACCAGCTTAAGTGAAGTTTAACTCCTGAAGTTCTGAACACCTATAAATGCTCCCGGCATCTGGGGCTAACTGCCAAATATCGTTACAAAGATTTTAAGATGCCTCCTTGTGTAGTTAGTACCCCCGGGTTCATGGTTAGTGCCCCCAGGTGAGTGGTTAGTGCCCCCAGGTGAGTGGTTAGTGCCCCCAGGTGAGTGGTTAGTGCCCCCAGGTGAGTGGTTAGTGTCCCTAGGTAGTGGTTAGTGTCCCCAGGTGAGTGGTTAGTGTCCCCAGGTGAGCGGTTAGTGTCCCCAGGTAGTGGTTAGTGTCCCCAGGTGAGTGGTTAGTGTCCCCAGGTGAGCGGTTAGTTTCCCCAGGTGAGTGGTTAGTGTCCCCAGGTGAGTGGTTAGTGTCCTCAGGTAGTGGTTAGTGTCCCCAGGTATGCCCTGGAGTGGGGCTATCTGCCCTGGAGTGGGGCTATCTGCCCTGGAGTGGGGCTATCTGCCCTGAAGTGGGGCTAGCTGCCCTGGAGAGGTGCTCTCCGCCCCGGTGTGGTCTCCACTTTGGAGGCCCCGTTCTGTAGCCCATCAGCCATTGAGAAATCTTGAGATATTTTTTTAAGACACCCAATTTTGTACATGAAAACATACTTCAGTCAAGTTCCTTCAACTATTCTGACATGGGGCCGCATTGAACCAGTCTTCAGAGGCTCCCATAAATTCCAATTAAAGAAAAGACCCAGGAGCTGATCAAAATTGTTGAGGTAGTCGGGTGGTTAAGTATAGCAAGATGAGAATAATGATGTACGTGTTCGATCACAGCCATCGGTAAATTTTAAAGTAAAAATATGGTAAGGTAAATGGTTGCTTTTTAACAGAAAAAAATTGATTATTTAGTGGCGAATTAAGAGTGCGGCAAGTTGCACAATTTCTACTCCCGCCGTTGATTAGGCCAGATTTGGCCTAATAAACGCTGGCATCACTATTCCCAATACTATCAAATAATTAGATTACCTAAGGTTCAAAGAGCACTACAAATTATTTATTGGCGATTGGGTGTAAATAATTGAGTAACTTGGTGCGACGACCCAGTTATTCATAATGATTCGAAGTTATAATCAGTTACACATCACACGATTATCAAGTACGCGCACCTGAATAGCTAGAATTTGCGTATGCAAATTCCGTTTGCTAGAACAGAAATTTATAATTTATGATTATGTGGAGACCTCGTGATTCAAAATGAACCCATGAGTCATAACGAACCCATGATTATCTGGAGCAAGGAAAGACTAATCCATTTATTACTCGAAGCTTCCTCTCTGTATCTTCCTTATCACATTACATGAAGCCGGGAAATTGCTGATACCACCGGCAGTGTTAGTGATATCGTGACGGGGGTAACACCGAAGCCTTCACACAAAAAGTGTTCCCATAGTATCCCATGTCCGCGACCGCGGTGATTGCCAAGTATTTCCTGCACGTTAAACAAGTAATTTCAAGGCATATATTTCAGATTGTGCCACAGAATCCTTAGATCTATATTCTACAGCGACTATTGCTTCTCACGTGTCATTTGCTCAAGAAGTTTTCAAGCTGCACCACATTAGATGAAGTCTAACACATGAAGTATATGAGGGAGGAAGTATTTCAAATATTTTTATTATTTAAGATTAATTCTGAATTTCTGTTCGCATCGTCGTAATCATACGGCGCACGTTGCATGCAAATCAAATTCTTCAGTTGTTATTTCCGCTAAAATGGCCGCCAAAATTGCATGAAATTTTTTGACAAAATAACTGTAATTTTTATGCTAGTATTTGAAGAAGCATTTTCTCAGATTAAACCACGGTCTGAAGAAGTTCGTGGGACCTGGTAAAAATTGGAATATCCTAATGTAATAGATTGTTAATGTCCGACTTCAGGAGCCTTAAAAAGCATACATGTTTTTCCAGAGAGAGACACATTATAAATACACAAGTCCCATGTAACATATGTAACATCAATGAAAGTTATCTTAATTTATCAGACTTTCGAAACTACTGTTTGTTTTCTAGAATTATAGGGTATAACTTATAAGGAACTAGCGAGCTCTACTTCTGATTGACTCATATGTGGTGTAATTACGTTTCGCAAGTAAACCATTTTTCCATGTGAAGTTCGATTTAAAATTTGCGACCATATTCATTCAATTATACGGTGTGAATTCATTCAATTATTAATTCTTTTTCCAGATAACCAAAACTTGGCTATCAACATGTTTTCGACGCATATCTTAATAATAGTGATGGTCGCTGGCGTTGACCTAGTCTGTGGTGCACTTTTGGACGGAATTCCGACCTACGTTCACCAGAACTTTTCATACAACATGTGTCCTTGTCATGAAAGTATTGGTGCTTGCACTGAAACATTTTCAATCCCCATGTTAAGTTCTCCAGATAATAAAGATTGGTTCCCGGTCAATATGAAAAATTTGTCATTAATTGAAGAAAAGCCATCCTGTTTACCAAACCAATTAGAAATAACCATAGAGGAAGGAAGTTTCGCACTTCTCACGAACGGGTCTATATCTCACGTACACAGCGGTCTTATCTTTGACACCGATTCTTACTGCCTGGAAATGGCGTACAATGAAATGTATTCTTTAGATGGAAAATTTAAAGTTCCGATGTTGAAGGCAAAGGTTTGCTTGCCACCTGTACGACTTCCTTCCTGTTGCAATTCTGGTGAAATTATGACCGATCAAAACGGCACAGCTGCCTGCGAGAAAAGTTCGGGCTACACTTCATTTTTTCACCCGCGTATCGAATTTGCCGGAAGCTTTCACACGTTTGCTCTCACCACAGAACATCGCGGTTTTCCGAAGTGCGAGGATAGGTTAACAATCTCACCCGTCCAAAATGAACGGACACGGCGATCTTTAGAGTTAGTTGGGAGTGGAATCCAGCTAATTTGGCAAACTAATGAGCATGGCAAAACCATAGTAGTTGAGTCGGAGCGCTTCTGTGTAGGGCAAGTAACAACGTACAATGCAATTACTCCAGCCGTTGCATTTTGCCCCGAAGATTTTTCCGTCCAAAAGATGTGTTCAAACAACACATGCTTTTCAAAATGCTGTCGTGAAGGTTACGTCTTTGACCTCTTTACAAGCTCGTGCGAAATGGAAGACTTTTACCAAGTCTGGACCCCTCCGGCCAGTTGGCAAAATTTTACAGCTCTCTACGGAATGCCTTCTTGTCCATCGTACTTTCCAATATCTGCATTAGACACTAATGAAAATTATGCCTTGCTTGCCAATGGCAGCTTGTGGATTGAATCTCACTCTCAAACAACGCCGTATTCAAAATACTGCATTGATTACTTCCGTAATCAGACTCACCTGATCGAAATAGCCATCGTGTGCTTTGATGAGACTGTAAACCCATCAAGCAATACCACTGCAATACCTGAGCTGCTCTACGTGATTTTATTGTTCTTTTCGAGCCTCCAACTGTTGATAGTGACTGGAATATTTGTGTATCGGGTGTTTAAAGTGAAACGTGAGAGGAGAGAGGGATATACATGTGAAAATGCATCTCGGAATATAAACGATATGCAAAATATAAGTAATGCTGAAAATGATGGTGAGCTTTCTCATCAAAATATACAAGAACGTCAGGATATGAATAGTGGAAGAAGAGAGAGTTTGAATGCCCAAAGTATTGCTCTGAATATCCAAGGCAATAACTCTGATGTCCAGAATTCTCTAATGACGCCAACAGCCGACACTCATAACACGGAGAATCGCGAAAACCATACAGTGGAAAACACAGGAAAAGTTGCAATAATTTTATCGTTAAGGAAATGTACCATTTTCGGCCACTTCCATGCCCTAGTATGCCAGATGATGTTCTTCTCTGCATGCCAGCTCATAATAGTCGCTCTACAGCAAGCTTTGGCTTCACATATCTCTTTTTGGTCTTGCAGTGCATTGGGTGAGTGCAATTATGTTAATTAAGAACTTGAGATATTTGTCCAATATTGACAATTGAACGCAATCACCTACCTACATGATAATAAAATACTGCAGTCTCGCTTTTTAACCGAATGCAGAATCTTCATTCACTGAGAACACAAACACAAATGATTAAAAAAAAGAGAGCAACAGTTTTTGATAACAATTCTTTCTTACCGCCCGTTTATTGTCTCTTGCATGCATTAACAGCCGTATTTATTCCGTTCAATGCATCTGAGTATTGAAACTCAAATTATTCTCTCAATCATAATTAGGAAAACTGTTATATATATTTGTTGATCATCGTAAGGGATTTGTTAATTTGTCTCACAACCAGACTTTCAAGTATTTATTTAGTTTTCCGACTCGAAAGTTTGCGGCCACTATCACGAAATTTGTCACCATATTGGATTGATATGTTAGTCGTAAACACTAAACCCATTTGTGTTGCGGGACTCCCATGCTCATTCGTGCACCTAATCTATCACCACAAACCTGGAAAAATGCAACTAGAATTGTTAAAATTAATTAGTAACCGTAAATTATAAATTTATATTGTGTTGCCCATGTACCAGCAACCCTGGGTGACGTCATGGAGCTGACTGTCATGGCCGCCGTGTGCTGCATGTGCGCGCAGTTCTGCTGCGACATCGAGCGCAGGTCAGTTGCTCCATGGTTGAACATGGTTGTATTAATTCAACCATGAGTTGCTCACTGACGTACATCGTGAAAAATTATATTTTCTAAAGAATGTGTGATAGGTTTGTGCATGAATGATGATCAAAGTAACAGGCCAGTGAAGTCTTCATTGCCACGTATCATGTAGCCTTAGGAAAAGGGAGTCATTAATTTGAAAAGAACTTTACGGCAAAAATTGTTCGATAAAAATTCCTTGAATTTTTTGTTTAAATGCCACCGCATTTCATTAGTTACATTAGTTCTTGCCTATCAACATTAGTTCTTTCCTAATATTCATCTATTTTCTGTTAAATTTAAAATTTTGAATACCTTACTATGTTGAACAAAGTAACTCTACATTTTCAAACATTTTTCCATCATGTCTATCTTCACAATTATTTGTTCTTTCTCGCTTCCTGTGTTCATATAAATCGAGTGTAGGAGAAAAGGAACTTATTGATGCCGAGGACGAATATTGCAGAGACGAACTGTCCGCGGCTATTGCTGCTGTTAACATAACATAACATAGTGATGTCGGCTCTGAAGTGTAGGCCTGATGTGGCCTGTCGCCGATTCTTTTCCATTTCGTGCCTTGTTCATAGATCTAAACTCGTGTCATTTGACCGGATCTTTTCATGACTGGCGATAGTTTGAAGAAGCTACTAGACTTCCAATACTGTAATCTTGCTGTTCATTGTTCTTCCCGAGGTGTAGTACTTTACACTTGTCAGCATTAAACCTCAGCTGCCACGTATCAGCCCAGTTAACTAAGCTGTCAAGATCATCTTGCAATTGCGCTTTACTTGACGCATTCTTCACTGTATTATAAACTTTTGTGTCGTCGGCATACATGGACACATGATTCATCTTCGTTATATGTTTCAATTATTGTCACTCATTTTTAATTATCAAAATTGAACTTTATGAAGAAGTAAATGAATGTTTAAGCATAACGGAATATTTAAACATAAATGAATATATAAACCTAAATGATTATTTAAAATATGAATGAATATTTAAAGCTAAATGAATATTTAAACGTAAATGAATATTTAGACCAAAATGAATATCTAAACCTAAATGAATATTTAAACCTGAATGAATATTTAAACATAAATGAATATAAACCTAAATGATTATTTAAAACCTAATTTAATATTGAAACCTAAATGAATATTTAAACGCAAATGAATATTTAAACCTAAATGAATATATGAACCTACTTACAGCAAATTTTTATATCTCTCATTATGCTTTCCATGATGCAAGGATTATTCATATTATTTCCTTATTTTATTCATATTATTCATATTTTTTCGGTACCAGGACTCCAGGAGAAGAAACCAACAGGGCAGTACCGCGCTGGGTACCCATCCTCTTACATGTTGCACCTCTGATACTTGCTACCATCGTGGTGGTGCCCGTGCGGGTGGTGATGGTGCCCTTACCATCAGAATGTACCACAGCGGCCGCTTTCACTGGTACGTACTTTATTCTTTGTCCTAAACGTGAAATTCCTTCGTGTCTTGTAATTATGCGTCATAGGTTTGTTGCTGCTTTTCCACCAGCAATAAGATTCTTAAATTTTGGCATTTGCAATTTAATTATAAGTGTTTTTGACAATTTTTTAACATGTATTTTGCACCAGCAATGAGATTCTTATTTTATTTTGATTTTTTTACAATATTTTGAGAGTTTCTACAAAATTATAAGACTTTTTGACAATATTTTCACATGTAACTTGTAGGATATCTCAGCACTGATTTATTTATTAATTGTCAACCTATTCATTATGCCCAGATTAGTGCCAATTATTAGAGAATTTCAACATCTCGGAAGATTGTCTTCACCGCAGCTTGCTGTTTCAAGACGAAACTTTTCCTCACATATTATTTAATTACATCATGATTATTTTTCATACTTCTCCAGTTAGTTTGATGCACTGACGACATAAGAACCCTCGCATGCACTTCTGTGCAGCTCTTTACGGAAAATGAACAGTTAATTCAAGAAAAACATATATCAAGTACCGTGAATTTCACGCGAAAAACGTGAATTTCACGTTCATCGCGAAATTCACAGTGGGAATAAAAACATTCCTGTATAAATTTTGCTATAAACGAGAATAACGAATGCTATTCGCTCTCTCCTGAATCTTAAGTGGGTTTTTACTGTACATTTAATAAATTGTAAATTGTGGAAATATTTTCTTATAAGATCCATGGGCTGGATTCCCAATCTCGGTTACGACATTTGTGCTTCTGGCCGCAGCGTTCGCCCTCCTGTTCAAAGACTTCGTCATTTATGTCTATCGCAGCCAAGGTCAACTGCAGTCGATCCCACCTGAATTGAGGTTAGAAATCGAGTAATATTTATCAAGGAGGTCATGTGATAAATGGAAGACAGTGTGCTGTTAAGTGATAAATTTATGACACTAATAGTTGCTGGTCAATTGATGAAATGTTGACAATATGCCATCAAGGGTAAACGGACAAATTGTGACTTTACAACATCGGAATTATGTTTGTTATGGTAAATTTACTGAAGTATTTTCTACTTCAGTTCTTCCTTCGCTACATGTTCATTTGATTAAGTTTTTATTGCAGGTACCGCTGGTGGTTGTGCGCTAAGATGGTGTTCATCCACGCCATGTATTGCATCTCGTATGCGTCAGTGTTTGCGTCGGACTCTGTCGCTTTTTGGTCAGTTGTTACTGCGGTGGTAAGCCTGAATATTCTAAAATTATATAATACATTTTTTTCTGCGAATACATTATCTTTGTCAAGGGTATACGAACCCAAGGCATTGGAACTAAACCTAATGTCAGTAGTAACAGGATTAATTAGTAACCTTTGTCTCATTGGCAATATTTATTCAGCAGCTTATTTTCTATAATTATTCTATCCTCATTAGGTTCGCAATCACTGAGAATTTTTTCTTAATTTCGAAAAATTTAAAAATAAAAATTATCGAAATTTGCTCTCTTGCAACTCTATAGGATGAGTTTGCGATATTTTTTTATGCTTCATCTCAAGTTCAAATAACCTGCACGTGTAATAATATTCTCGGATATAAATAATCCTAAGTTTTATGATTCATCCTTGATGTGCTACATCACTACAATAAATTATTATTCGTTCTCTAATTATTTCATTGCATTATAAGTTTTCAGTTGTTCGAAACATAGCTCATGGTGTTTCAAATTATATCGCGGTTTGATGAACTATGATTTGATGAACGATAATTTGATGACGTCATAATTGTCTCTTATGACCGCTTGCTTGCCCCGCAGGGTGTTTGGGGACATCATATTGTTCCTGAAGAGCGTCCTAGTCTCGTGCAGCGTGCTGCGCCATCACACGAAGCACCACAGTCGCCCTGCACCGCACCACCTGTAGCGTGCAGCGTGCTGCGTCATCACACGAAGCACCACAGTCGCCCTGCACCACACCACCTGTAGCGTGCAGCGTGCTGCGTCATCACATGAAGCACCACAGTCGCCCTGCACCGCACCACCTGTAGCGTGCAGCGTGCTGCGTCATCACACGAAGCACCACAGTCGCCCTGCACCGCACCACCTGTAGCGTGCAGCGTGCTGCGTCATCACATGAAGCACCACAGTCGCCCTGCACCGCACCACCTGTAGCGTGCAGCGTGCTGCGTCATCACACGAAGCACCACAGTCGCCCTGCACCGCACCACCTGTAGCGTGCAGTTCGATTAATGTTGCAAAACTTCAAATTATTAAATTTTAAATCAGCACGGGCATTCTTAACGAGATAAAAAGCAATATTTTTGTCAATTTTTTAAAGTCTGTTCAAGGATTCAATTACGCCCACTATCACATTCTAGTATTAATTTAAACCTGTTAGCCACACTGCTTGGCTTGAATTCATCTTGGCTATCCCAGATCTGAAAAAATTATCATTTATTATTTCAGTTACAAGTTTAGAGGACGACAGAAAGGAATCATATGATAATTATTTAGTGAACGAGTTATTGGGGTATATATAGGGATAGAAGGAACCAACGGCAGGACTCAATACGGTCCCTATAATGATTCCAAGCTAGAATTTAGCAGACAATTGAAATATGAAAACGTGTATTTGAGGACAAAAGTATTGAATGCATTCTAAATACTTCTAATTTATATTATAAACATTCGTTGATCGCATGCTCAACTTGTTGAATTATTAAATGTAAAAGACGCCAGTGAAAAGAATAAATGTTGGACGCTGTATGCTTTACTTGTGCATTTCATTTTGCGAATGAATTTAGAATAAAGTATGTTTAATGATAAATGTTGAAATGTGTCATATGTTTGATTTTTAATGCATAGGTTATTGTTCGCATTTTAAGTGTTGAATTGACATGATTATGTTTTGCGTTGCTTGTTAGGAGCTCTTTTATTGCACGATAGTTTATACCACGTTGATGATGATTGTTAAGAATAAATTTGTGTATATTTAAGATAGTCGTGAGACTATAAAGTTTGTTTTCCGATGAGACAGATAATTTATCTAGGTTATTAAATAAATTCGAATCAGTTAGTAATAACGTAAAACGAATATATTTGTTATAAAGGTACAGTTTTTTATGTACGTAATATCCGTGTTTGTTGAACCCCCTAAATGTTTTGGCTTATCACAATCGTTATCTTATGTTCAAAGGATTATTAAACCGTGTTATGTTTTCTCTCCATTAATTAAGATGTTTACGAAAGTTGATCAAGCTGAATATATGATTATCAACTTGGCTCAGGCTCTGGCGTTCGGGGCAGTATACTAAACGAAACGGACAGCGATAGTAAGTTTAATGACGATTGTTTATTTTAATTGTGCATCTATTATTTGCTAGATTACTTAAGGCCCCGCCTGCTGTATCTCTAATAATTTTAACGATGCTACAGATACTGTAAAACAGTTTTTGCTGCCCAAATCTATCCTCATTCATCGTACGGATGATATCACAAATGCAAGGTTACAATAGCTTAAGATCGCCACCGATCACATTAGTTTAGTTTTAGATAAGTACTATATGTCGGCGTTGAAGATTAGGCCTAGTCAGGCCTGTCGCCGATTTTCGCATTGTTCGTAATTTTCACACGGGAATTTTTGAAACATTGAATTGTCTGATAAACATGGAATCTAATGGAAATGAACTTTGATGTTTTAAAGCTCTTGCTGTTGTACTGGCGGGATGTGAATCTATTCCGTATACGTAACGAAAATGTCTTGTCGGTTCTTGCATGGATTCACACTCGAGGTCTCAAAGAGTTCAGAGTTCAGACGTCAGTCTGTTCCCATGAACTAAAATCGTTTGTTTCTCGAAACTATAGATAACCTTGTATGACTTAGGAGCGATAGCGACGCTGTTTAAGCCCTTGAGAGAATTTTTTAATTCTACGGTAGTGATGGAGGGATGAAAATGTCTCTCATAGTGCCGCCTAGACACTATGGAAATCGCCTATGAATGTTAATTGCGATTTAAGGTATATCAAATTTTGGATAGAATTGAACAAGTTGAGACGGCTATATGTCTCAACCGTTGTCTTTTATTACAATGAGTGAAACCCTCAATAAAATTAATGGGTCAAATTGTCCTAATAGTTACACACTTGAATTGTTACCCGCACCCGCAGCCATAGGGCAGCGCAGCCGTAGGCAACAAATTTTACTCATAAATAAGTCATAGAGCCAACGCCCAGCCTCACCATGCATTAACTTTACTCAGCCTCAGAACTAGAAGCCGCAGACTACGCTTGAACTCCGTAATCCAGACAAGCGACACACTGCCGAAAGATAATAGCGCCGTAGGTCTTCAGCCAATGCTTAAGCATGCTCGCTCATTAGCAGGCCGTTCCCCATCCGGCTGTACCTACTCCGGCCTAACCTCTTCTGGCCTAACCTATTCACGCTGTCCCGGCTCACATCCTTCTTGCAGCCAATGACTGGCTCTACCAGTACACTGGGACCGCCTTTCTAACTTTTTGCAGTCAATGAAGTTAGGTTAGGTTCGCTCAGGTTTGTTTTGGGTGGAGAAAGGTTGCAGCTCTTATAGGTTAGGCCAGAGGAGGTTTGGCCAGATGCAGTATGGCCATGTTTACCTTTGGCAAGCTTATTTTGTGGCTGTGGACATCCGGTGCCATGGCTTTGAGCACTTGACTTCATAGGCCGTTATGCACTCTATCGTTCTTACCTATGGAAAGGAATATTAACTAAGTGTGAAGTTTGGCAAAGCTGGCCTCCGGCATGCGCCCCCAGCCAGAGCATAGGACTGGCGTAACGCTGATACGCTCGTTTCCCGGCAAAACTGTTGGTACAAGTTCTCGCTATTTTTCTCAGTGCACCCAGTAATTACTGGACAGATGCAGTTGATGACTAGGACGAATAGAATAAGTTTAATAATAGAATAAGTTTAATAATAATAAGTTCGAGTCTTATCTGGATCAGTGTTATAGATAACAGATAAGGAATGATTTGTAAACAAATTCTCGTGTACTAGTATGCCGGTAAATTTTCAACTACATGATTATGAACATTATTTGGTAAATATTTTTTGATTGCTGTTCACTGAGAGACCATGTAATACTTCATCACTTGGTATTCCTCATAATAATGTGAACAGTTACGCCATTTCATGTTTTAGGAATAACTTGTAAAGACACTATGATGACTAAGTGATTTATGTAGGGTGATATGCTTTGGTGCATTTAGTTCTTGTGCAACCAATGCAATTACCAAGTCTTGCTTACCCGACCCTCAACCTTCTACCGCCTGACATGAGTAACCGGAGCAATATTGTCACGCGCCTACTTCCCAAAAAGGATACGTTCTAGTGAGCGCAAAATGACTTGAAGCAGGCAGTTCCCCATCCGGCTGTACCTACTCCGGCCTAACCTCTTCTGGCCTAACCTATTCACGCTGTCCCGGCTCACATCCTTCTTGCAGCCAATGACTGGCTCTACCAGTACACTGGGACCGCCTTTCTAACTTTTTGCAGTCAATGAAGTTAGGTTAGGTTCGCTCAGGTTTGTTTTGGGTGGAGAAAGGTTGCAGCTCTTATAGGTTAGGCCAGAGGAGGTTTGGCCAGATGCAGTATGGCCATGTTTACCTTTGGCAAGCTTATTTTGTGGCTGTGGACATCCGGTGCCATGGCTTTGAGCACTTGACTTCATAGGCCGTTATGCACTCTATCGTTCTTACCTATGGAAAGGAATATTAACTAAGTGTGAAGTTTGGCAAAGCTGGCCTCCGGCATGCGCCCCCAGCCAGAGCATAGGACTGGCGTAACGCTGATACGCTCGTTTCCCGGCAAAACTGTTGGTACAAGTTCTCGCTATTTTTCTCAGTGCACCCAGTAATTACTGGACAGATGCAGTTGATGACTAGGACGAATAGAATAAGTTTAATAATAGAATAAGTTTAATAATAATAAGTTCGAGTCTTATCTGGATCAGTGTTATAGATAACAGATAAGGAATGATTTGTAAACAAATTCTCGTGTACTAGTATGCCGGTAAATTTTCAACTACATGATTATGAACATTATTTGGTAAATATTTTTTGATTGCTGTTCACTGAGAGACCATGTAATACTTCATCACTTGGTATTCCTCATAATAATGTGAACAGTTACGCCATTTCATGTTTTAGGAATAACTTGTAAAGACACTATGATGACTAAGTGATTTATGTAGGGTGATATGCTTTGGTGCATTTAGTTCTTGTGCAACCAATGCAATTACCAAGTCTTGCTTACCCGACCCTCAACCTTCTACCGCCTGACATGAGTAACCGGAGCAATATTGTCACGCGCCTACTTCCCAAAAAGGATACGTTCTAGTGAGCGCAAAATGACTTGCACTGATGGTTGCCGCCACGTACGACAACTTTAAAATGTTCTCTCTTGCGTACAAGGTTGCTACACTCAATAGTTTACGTATAATTTGACTTGAAAGTTATGTTCTCGGCGAGTGACATACGGCGGTAGAGGGTTAATAATATGTATCCAACTGATTAGTTCAACCTGATGAAGTCAAGACGCGAAAGTGAGTCAGAATACTGGAGTGAATGTGTTTCCCGACATGTGCTTAACCTTAGTCTACGGGCCAAAATAACTTGCTTTTCCGACCTTATGCCCAGAGGGAATCAGGCGTATACCGGAAATGAAGTCAACAGGAGGGCTAAAGAACCCGTCTGCAAAGGTTTCAAAATTTTGTAACCTTGTTACTCAATTTGACCTTATCGCATATCTTGGTAATCATCACATTTGTACTACTTCTGCAGTCAGTCACTACTTCAATTGATGAAACGAGCAGCAGATGCCTGGGCGCAGCTTGATCCTTGATTCCCCTTTTGATGCCATCTTGGCTTTGAGCTACGATCAAACAAACCTTCATAATCATGATACGTTTCATATAGCGGGTTCAGCGTATATTAGGCCGTAGGCCTGTCGTCGATTCTTAACATTGCAGAACATCCACAGCTTGTTGCGGGCTCGAACTCGCAGCTCACTGCTTCAAAATTAATTTGCTTAACCGCCCGGCCTCCTTGCCGATTCAGACCAGAAACTGGCGCACAGAGCTGGGATCGAACCCGCACCTCTCTGCTCCAATCTTGGTACTCTGAACTTTAACCACTGGGCCACCCTGCGTGGCCCAGTGCGTTTGTTCGGAGCTGCGTTCTGTTAAAGTTTAAATTCAGATAAGAAATTTGTTTTAGTGCTGCATAGATCCGAAGAAAATAATTTATCTCATAACCTATTTTTAATAAGGACCTTACTTACGCTGTTTTTTTTTTCATTTATTCCCTACTACGTGCACTAATGAGCAACGAATCATTCAAACAGATTTTTTGTTCTTCTCCAATAATGATGGTCATTCTCAAGATAATATTTTGTGGAATCGTCTTCAACGAACTGAAAATCTGATCATCCTTGCTCTGATGATTAATCTAATTCTTTAAAAACCTTAAATATGAAGAACTTTTCAATATATCGTGGTCTTTAATTTTACGAATCTTTTAGCGTCACATAAAAATTAAATCGAGCGTTTAATGTTGGTGGCGAACGCGTTAAAATGATATTTTCGTCAAGAAAATAAAGCAGTATTAACATCAGAAACGTTTGAGCATCGTGAAGGAGGATGATGGAGAAATAAAAAGTGCGGTATTTCACTAATTTATTGAAAAGCCTTACTCGGCTTTTTTGCTAAAACTTTTGTACTAATCAACGTCACAAAGCGCACTCTCTACACAGGCCTACTTCTTGTACAAGAAGCTCCTTCCGAACTTATAAATTCTTGAGCTAAAAGATCAATACAACCACTTGCAAATCTGCCGCAAAAGTTGAGGCAACTAGAAGCAGAACAACGCAAAATGAAGTAGAAGACCATAGTATTTGATGGAGACTAGAGAAGAATAAACGGGCAAATTCAAACAGTTATCCATCAAATGATAACGAAAGGTTAGGATTATGTTTAAATCCTGGAGGCATGTTACCCTCGCAATGACTTCCCTCAATTTCATGTATTAATTAAATTGATTAAATTTAAGTAATAATTAATTATTAATTATTAAAATACGTGATGAAGTCCCGACACAGGTTAAATGGGACAAAAATTAAAATCTCAATTCAAGAAGTAAACAAGAAATTAAACATCATACATGAAGCGAGCATAATAAGAATAACATTTAAATAAGGGAAGGTATGGCCTACAGTTTTGATGTAACAAATTATTGTTTTCGTGAACTATTATAAAGAATATCATTAAAAAATTACTACAGTAATTGTGAGAGGAAAAATTAATGGAAGATTTCAAACTTTATCAACCGGAAAAAAATAATCACATCAAAAATGCAATTCAAAATTTATGCTTATTGAGAAGCGCATTAATTAACTGACTTTGATGGGTGTGCCAGGTAATTGAATGTCCTAAGTAGCCACTTAATTACTTAATTATAATATATAATAATGAGATAACTACTTCAAATGCAGCTCGGAGAAATTAAAAAATTTCCGCTGTAATTGAGAAGGAACTTGAAAATACTTGTTATTTGCCGGCGGATTACCTTAAGATTTTTTGCAATATTCTACGATAAATAGAAATAAAAAGAAATGTTATTTTAAATACCAATATAGAAATAAAGAGAATTGAAGTATTAAAACAACCCATAACTTTGCGTGCACTCAATGGTTTGATTTGAAGTCTTGGCACCTAGCAGGCAAGATTTTCTAAATAAAATACATTTTTCAACAACACTCGTAGGATCTTATATTACCTTATTAAAGATTGTTAGATAAATCAATTGATGTATTCTTAACAAGTGATTCAAATTTAGGTATAAATTTGGTACTGTTTGCGGGTAGCGGCGAGGAGAAACGACATAAGTAAACGACAATGATTGTAGTACAATAAAAATCAAATATACGACTAATAATACGAGAGAATTTTAGATATACACTAAAAAACAGATTTCAATGCTTTTTACGTCTGTAAAACGCCGGATGCTAAGAATGAGGAATATCAGGAGCAATTATTCAAATTTTGGATATTCGTAGAATTTCAATAAATCAAGTCTTCCACTCAAACTAACAAAATAGAATAACAACAACAAACATGAAACAACTATCACTAAAATCTTGCAATATTATTCACAAAATAAATAAATCCACTAAGTTAATAAATGCAAACCCACTTATAAGTTAGTTAGTTAGTTAGTTTAGTGTCCAAATGTTTACTAGCGCTCCAGCTATTAAGCTATCTCGCACCGAAAGTCAAGATGAACGTCACCAACGGTGGAAGGTCTCAATTGTTCATCACCCACAAGGGGCGGAAGGTCTCAATTGTCCAGCCCGCTGAAGCTGGCTCGAAAGAAGCAGCGCTAGCATCTCAAAGAGACGAAGTGACAAGGAGGGACAGGTGACAAGCAACAGAAACGAAGACACTCGAACAAGAGGTCGCTTACACGGGACGTCGGCCGCCCGCACGAGAGAGACAGAGAAGGGAAATGTAAGGAATCCTACCTACATAATAACTTAATGTAAGGAATCCTACCTACATAATAACTTAATGTGAGGTATCCTACCTACATAATAACTTAATGCAAGGAACCCAATGAAAAATAATCAATTAATAAGGATAATATGCTGCTCAATAGTCCTTGATGAAAAATAATCAATTAATAAGGATAATATGCTGCTCAATAGTCTTTCATGAAAAATAATCAATTAATAAGGATAATATGCTGCTCAATAGTCTTTCATGAAAAATAATCAATTAATAAGGATAATATGCTGCTCAATAGTCTTTCATGAAAAATAATCAATTAATAAGGATAATATGCTGCTCAATAGTCTTTCATGAAAAATAATCAATTAATATGGGCAATTTAATGCGCAATAATCCTTGATGAAAGGTTATCAATTAATAAGAATAATATGGTGCTCAATAGTCCTTGATAAGCCTCTTGAGGGCGGCGAGACAGCGCCACTTGTCAGGCAGGTAGAAGGGCTCGAAGATGTGAGGGAAGGGCGTGTCGAACCCGCACACACGCTCCACGGGCGCCTCCAGGCTCAGGAAGCACTGGCGCTGGGGGGCATTAAGCGTTCAAACTTACGAGATCAATGAGTGCTCAAGAGTAACAGGAATTTGCTTTGTGTATGAAGACTACAATGTTGTGAGAAAATGTGCAAGAAAAATGTTGTGAGAAGAACAAAGTTGTAATAAAAAAATGTGTAAGAAAAATGTTGTGAGAAGAACAAAGTTGTAAGAAAATGTGTAAGAAAAATGTTGTAAGAAAAACAATGTTGTAAGAAAATGTGTGGAATATATCACTCAGAGGCAGCACTATCAAAGCGCAGTGGCCTTAGTACCTACACGTAGCAGCCTGTTTATTGGCTGTGATTGGTGGGTTTAGCTTGAAATACCGTCAGTGATTGGCTCATACAAATAAATGATGAACATGATTTGAATTTTTAACAAAACCTTTGACAACATATTCTACCAATAATAAATGTAGATTAGGCAGGAAGCTATTCTCGTAAGTTAGTTGATGGTATTTGATTTAAATACTAAATTAGGCGTAAATAGCAGGTTTGAAAGAGAGAACGTCAGTAGAAAAGCTGGAAGACCTTCAAGAACTCAAGAGTTCTCGAATCAATTTATGAATGATCAGTTTAAGGCTTTCTTGTGCTAAAACAAATTTATGAAAGAACATTTCAAGCCTTTATTGAGCTAAAAACAATCCTTTAATAAATCATAATTTGAAATTTTGACTCTCTTCTTGCAGTTTACTTAAGATAATATAAAATAATTTATTGAAAAACATAGAAGGCAACAATTGCTTGAAGAAGGCAAAACATTGCTATTTGACGCATCAAAACTCTGCAAAAGCATAATGGCGAATCATTACTGGATAATTGAGCTCAAAACACTGTGGTTTCAAGACGAACATATAATTAAGTTTAAAATATCGGACTGAAAAGGTTTAAACATTGTTAACCTTGTAAGGTAATTAAAGTGAGGTTTAAATATTGTTAACAAATGTCGTAAAGTAATTAGTAGTAGTAGTAGTAGTAGTAAAAGATTTACTAGCGCTTCAGATAGCAATCTATTTCGCGCCGGAGGTGAGGTCTTCAGCTACGTCAAAGATGTTTGGTCTCTTCCGTCTTCAAGGCTTATAGCCTGATCCATTTTAGGCGCAGGGGCTGGGCGGTAGATTCCCTGCTCATGGAGCGAGGGTCCGCTCCGACTTCATGTGTCAACTCCAGCGTAAGTTTAGTGAGGCTTGGTCTAGGTGATGGCAAAGTGCGATTATAGTCTCGCTAAAGGCGGTGATGCAAGTGCATATGACCGACCGGCGGTGGCGTTACGGGGTCATGCTAAATCTCTGGCAGCAGGTTGCATTCCATCAGGTATCGTCTAAGGTTATCGGTTTCGAAGAATCCTACCTACATAATAACTTAATGCAAGGAACCCTACCTACATAAGAACTTAATGTGAGGTATCCTACCTACATAATAACTTAACCCCACAACTGAGACCTGCAGTCAGACACCGCGAGCTCAACGGTGGGGCGCTCAGGAACAATCCCCCTAGGTACGCGAAGTCCCATAGGACTTTAGACGCGCACAACCCACTTATAAGCAAGAGCAACTAGCACAAGTCATTTTCCTGATCCAGTATTTTAATCTGCATAGAATATTCGAACAACTTGAATTGCAGTGCAATCGATTAATCCAAATAAGTTAAACACAAATTTTAAAGGGTCTAGCATAGTCTTCTAATAATTCAAATCAACAGTACTAGTTTTGCTTAGTATTAAATTCTGAAAGACGGCGGACTAAGAAGCTCGGTTAAAAAATAATGAATTTTTTGCCTCAAAAAAATTATTTATTTCCCGGTTGATGCTAATAAGCCTGCAAAAATTAAAAAATTAATTTTGATGTAATTCTTCTAATTCAGAGCTCGCTGTAAAAAGTAATAAACAGTATAAGAGATCTAGATTTCTCAGTTCCAATTTTTTCAGTAGTGAGATTCCAAGTGAAATATCATAAATCAAAGGCAGAAATTAATCAAATATTATCGATGATATATTCCTTAATAATCCTTGGTAAAAAATGATCAGTTAATATCAAGGATATATTCTTCAATAGTCCTTGATGAAAAGTTATCAATTGATAAGGATAATATGCTGCTCAATAGTCCTTGATGAAAAATAATCAATTAATAAGGATAATATGCTGCTCAATAGTCCTTGATGAAAAATAATCAATTAATAAGGATAATATGCTGCTCAATAGTCTTTCATGAAAAATAATCAATTAATAAGGATAATATGCTGCTCAATAGTCTTTCATGAAAAATAATCAATTAATAAGGATAATATGCTGCTCAATAGTCTTTCATGAAAAATAATCAATTAATAAGGATAATATGCTGCTCAATAGTCTTTCATGAAAAATAATCAATTAATAAGGATAATATGCTGCTCAATAGTCTTTCATGAAAAATAATCAATTAATATGGGCAATTTAATGCGCAATAATCCTTGATGAAAGGTTATCAANTCACGGTCAACAAGTCACGGTCTTACCTCACGGTCAACAAGTCACGGTCTGACCTCACGGTCTTACCTCACGGTCAACAAGTCACGGTCTTACCTCACGGTCAGCAAGTCACGGTCTTACCTTACGGTCAACAAGTCACGGTCTTACCTCACGGTCAACACTAATAATTGATGTTTAGTGATCCGAGATCTCTCAAATAGGTAAAGAAATATAGGTAAAATAAGTGAAGAATAGGTAAAAAAACATCTATGTCAATCAATGGATTCGGTAAAAAATACCACTTCACCAAAAAGGTAAAGAAATAGTGCAGTTCCAAAACGTTGACAGTTTTTTAACAAATTTTTAAATGCTACAATTGATATGTTATACATTTTACAAATATTGTAACTTTGATACGCCAACATCTTTATTTTCTGTCACTCCTTCATTATAATAGACAAATTGATGGAAAATCCCTTAGTTTGTGAACCCCTTTTTCTTTTCAGATAACAATATAAATGAAATTAGATGGCACTATAAACAAAATTAGATAGCATTATAAATGAAACAAGATGACAATATAAATGAAATTAGATGGCACTATAAACAAAATTAGATAGCTTTATAAATGAAACAAGATAACAATATAAATGAAATTAGATGGCACTATAAACAAAATTAGATAGCATTATAAATGAAACAAGATAACAATATAAATGAAATTAGATGGCACTATAAACAAAATTAGATAGCATTATAAATGAAACAAGATAACAATATAAATGAAATTAGATGGCACTATAAACAAAATTAGATAGCATTATAAATGAANTAATGAGAGATTACTGCCCCAGCCAATCAGCGTGACGTGCTTGCCTGTCCAGTGGTGGAATTAATGAGAGATTACTGCCCCAGCCAATCAGCGTGACGTGCTTGCCTGCGCAGTGGTGGAATTAATGAGAGATTACTGCCCCAGCCAATCAGCGTGACGTGCTTGCCTGCGCAGTGGTGGAATTAATGAGAGATTACTGCCCCAGCCAATCAGCGTGACGTGCATTTGTGGCTGCGTGAAGCAGTGCATTTGTGGCTGCGTGAAGCAGTGGCAAGATAAAATTCGAGTACAATTATTGCTCTGAGCTTATTAGTAGAGCTGCAATAATGTTTCACTTGTTTGGGCTAATCTGTGACCTTATCAGAATATCATGACAGGTAACACAATTAATTCAAGATTTTATGCTTCGTTATTATATTTAGGTAATTTTGGAACACAGATAGATTTTAAATTTTGCTGAAAAAAAACATGTGTAAGCCATTCGGTAAGAACAATTTGAAAGTGTTCACTCAGAGAACAAAAAATTCATATTTAGCAAGATTAAGATGCAATGACCTAATTAACAGTGTACATAATAATGGTTTAATTTGACATTTTTTAGCATTCAGGGCTTCCAAATATATCTCAAGGAGTAAAATTATTTATAATCATTAACTTATAAGCTTTAAATATAGTAAGCAACAAATGTTACCTTCAATCAAAATATCGGCCTTGCCAAGCGGCAAGGTGTAGTCTCCTTCAGGAACCTTGACATGTTACCTTCAGTTACCTTCACCTTACCTTATAAGTTACCTTATTTACCTTCAGTTACCTTCAGGAACCTTGACATGTTACCTTCAGTTACCTTCAATTTACCTTCAGTTACCTTCACCTTACCTTATAAGTTACCTTATTTACCTTCAGTTACCTTCAGGAACCTTGACATGTTACCTTCAATCAAAATATCGGCCTTGCCAAGAGGCAAGGTGTAGTCTCCTTCAGGAACCTTGACATGTTACCTTCAATCAAAATATCGGCCTTGCCAAGAGGCAAGGTGTAGTCTCCTTCAGGAACCTTGTCGACAGCTGAGCGGTAGAGCACTTTAGGCTCCAAGAATATGCAGGGGTCAGGCTCCCTGATACATGACAGCAGTAAGCCTTTGGCTTTTATTGGCCCTCGAGGAATCACAACCTACAAGGGTGACAATATACATTTAATTGCATGATAAAATGCATAATGATGACCTCAAGGGATCACAACCTACAAGGGAGGCAACGTACATTTAATGGCATGATAAAATGCATAATGATGACCTCAAGAAATCACACCCTACAAGGGTGACAATATACATTTAATTGCACGATAAAATGCATAATGATGACCTCAAGGGATCACAACCTACGAGGGTGACAACGTACATTTAATGGCACAATAAAATGCATAATGATCACCTCAAGGGATCACAACCTACAAGGGTGACAACATACATTTAATTGCATGATAAAATACATAATGATAATGGAAAAACATAGATTCTGAAAAATGGCACAAAAAGAAGTAAGCTTGCACAAGAGTGGCACAAGGATTTCAGTGATGGTTGCTGTCTCATCAGAACAAAGTATTTGACATAAGGAATAGTGTGAAAGATAATGTAATGATTTTAGAAATTATGTTAATACAGTATATTTCTAATATTCATTATTTTAGCATCATGTTAGCATAATTGTGCTTTGACATCAGGAAGAGTGTGAATGATTTTAGAAATTAGAATGATTTTAGAAATTATTGCACATATGTTTCAAACATTTATTATATCAGCATCATGTTAGAATAATTATATTGCAGGAACATATACCTACAAGTTAGCAAGAATGGGACTGACTTTGAGACCAGGAGTGTGAGCAAAGTAAGCCTCTGGAGACTGTGAATGGTAGACAGCCCCATGCCCCACGGCCCCACAGGGTGCACGCACGGTCATCTTACCACAGTTGAACAGGTTGCCAGACCGATACCTATACTTGGCCGCCTCATTTACAAGCTGTGAATCAAAAAATCTATTTAAACCTCTACCGCCTGACATGAGTAACCGGAGCAATATTGTCACGCGCCTACTTCCCATAAAGGACACGTTCTAGTGAGCGCAAAATGACTTGCACTGATGGTTGCCGCCACGTATGACAACTTTAAAATGTTCTCTGTTGCGTACAAACGTCCTCAGGTTGCTACACTCAATAGTTTACGTATAATTTGCCGCCACGTACGACAACTTTAAAATGTTCTCTGTTGCGTACAAACGTCCTCAGGTTGCTACACTCAATAGTTTATGTATAATTTAATTTAAAAGTTATGTTCCTGAAGAGTGACAGGCAGTACAGGTTAAAAATTGGATCATATAAAAAATATTAAAGAATAAACAATGCAAGTGGTTTTCAATTGGGAATAGAGGAATAATGAATGAAGTTTCCAAGATATTGAACTGATGAATGAAATTACCATGAATATTACCCCTTGTTGAAAGATTTTCAATAGCAGAACTCCTTTGATTGAACCTTTCCCAGGAAATAATGAATTTAAATGAATGTCTTTGTGAGGTAGAATGAATGTCTTTGTGAGGTAGAATGAATGTCTTTGTGAGGTAGAATGAATGTCTTTGTGAGGTAGAATGAATGCCTCACCTGATCAAAGGCCGGATAAATGTAATCAGCAAATTGGATTTCAGCAATAGCTGTGGATCCAGCGCATGCCACTCCAATAGCAAAGCCAGCAATGCCTTGCTCACAGAGAGGTGTGTTGAAGACGCGCTGTCGCCCATACTTGTCCTGAAGGCCTACAGAGCAGCGGAACACTCCTCCAAAACCAACGTCTTCACCAAACAAAACTGCACAAAAATCAATTTTTCAAGCTGTTAAAAGGCTTTTCATTTATTCAAAGCTGAAAAGTTGATTTGAATATTTATTTTGAATTTTTTTCATGAAAAAAGTGTTTGATGATCACTGAGAGACAAAAAATATTAAAAATCATAAAGCTTTAGATGAAAAAAGAATGCTGAAAGGACCATAGTAATTGACACACATTTTAAATAATCTACTTGCAGTTTAAAAAATTATCAACTCAAGGTTTGAATTCAATTTGAAGATAAAGAAATGCCAATTCATAGCCATGAATATTAAACACAGTCATAACAAATTTCATGGAAACATACATACTTGCTGAGTCATCTGTTGCTAAAGCTATATCCATGGCACTGTTGATGGCCTTGAATAGATTCATCTCCTTCAGTTCTCCTGAAATAAGAGTTCCGTTGAAACTTCAGTACTTAAGAATTGTTGAAAAAACAAGGTTTCAAGAGTGCAAATAATTATTGTTAACTAGTGTAGCTCAGATTTTAACCAATTAGTTAAACAATTTTGAATTATCATTAATTCGTGCCTCAAAATAATCAATTATCTTTCAAACTAATAAGCAAAAGAAGATAATGCAGCCTTAAATTGGAAGATAATGCAGCTTCAAATTGGAAGATAATGCACCTAAAAATTGGAAGATAATGCAGCTTTAAATTGGAAGATAATGCACCTTTAAATTGGAAGATAATGCAGCTATAAATTAGAAGATAATGCACCTAAAAATTGGAAGATAATGAAGCTATAAATTGGAAGATAATGCACCTTTAAATTGGAAGATAATGCAGCTATAAATTAGAAGATAATGCACCTTTAAATTGGAAGATAATGCAGCTCTAAATTAGAAGATAATGCAGCTTTAAATTAGACAAGGGGATTTTACACATAAAACTTAGTGTTTTGACAATTAGAACAAGTTTTAACATTCACATCAGAAAATAATAATTCAAGAATCAGAGAATTTCCAGTCATAAAAAAATTAACAAACTTAGCCTAGTAGATATTTATAAGGTTTCTCACCTAAATCTCCAAAGTCCTCTGCCTTGTCAGGATGGTAAGTGAAAAATGATGCATGGCGGGCTGATGTAATTTGAACAGCTTGCTTCAGTTTGCATCGTTGAAGAATAATTTTTGACTGAATAAGCTTAGATGAAGCTATCCGTACTAAACCAATAGAAGACATGCCTTAAAAAATAGTTTAAAATGAGTGTTCCAATGCAAATTAGCAAAACCTTACAATAAAGATTCTTGTGAAAATGGAAAAAAATCAGAATCCTAACTCAGTAATGCATGAGAACGTTGCAGCATATCTCAGGGTAGGAACTTATTACAATAATCATCAATACTGAATAACTTTAAATTATTTCTTAGAATTATTTTTTGATATGGATTAAGAAAACAGCCTGTGTTGGTCAATAAAAACCCAGCGAATGATTAGAGTTTGATTTGATAAATAAAGAAAAGTAGATGCAAGGAAAATACAGGGGCAAGCATTGTGATGCAAAAATTAGTTCAAGAATAGATGGGATAGTTAAAAATTGTTAAAATCAATAAGATATTGTTGCAGGGGGAGCTGTATAGCTCATTTGCCTAACCCTTTGTCTTTCATGCTCATTTATTCAAGGGGAGTGTCTGGCCAACTTTTTTGGATATTGGCTTTTCCAGTTGTTAGTCTCGTCTTAAAGCTGACATTCTGAGCTATCCAACAGTACCAAAACCATCTCTGAACGTTGATTTATGCGTTCACGACCGATCCCGCAAGGGAGGGGGGTGGGGGAGTTCTTCAACAAATTAGATAGGGGGAAATTAGCTGCCGAGCACAATAAATAGAGTGGCAGCCGGAGTTAGGAGGCATCTTATAACCATGAAGCTGAGTGTGGTGAGCTCGGATCACCTCTCCTGTTGCCAGGACTAATAATTGGTATGTCACCCCATTATCATTAGCTGAACTCACTTGGAAGGGCCCTTTAAAAGTAGGACTGAGCTTATTGATGTTTAAAAACCCCTTATGTTGGATTTTCATCAAAACTAGTTGACCTACTTCAAAATTTGAGAATTTAGGGTGGCCCCTCTTCCAATGCTGCACCAGGACACCTTGCAAAGGTGGATCAGCATGGATGCAGTGAGCCCTGGTTAGTAAAAAGCTAGAGGGAGGCATATGAAGTTCTGAGTGCAATGTATTATTATACACTATAAGAGCCTTTGGCAGTACTATGTCCCAAGATAGTTCATTGCTCACCAGACTGTGCAAAAAATTCTTAAATGTAAGATTCACTCGCTCAACAGCTCCGTTACTGGACGGACAGAAGGGTGTCATCAACTTGTGATTGATATTGGGTTGAAGAAGAAAATTAGAGAAGTCATGCGATGTGAACTCTGGCCCATTGTCAGTTGTTGTTGTTTCTTGCACCAAACGTCACGCTCGCGTGGGCGGAGGCTCTGGTGGTGGTCGGAGGGGAGGCACCGGGAGAGGGGGCAGATGGGCGAAAGCAGAGAGGGTGGCCAGGAACGTCGACGCCTCCACGGGGTTGTTCCACAATTATGAGACGCTGAGGGACGTGGGGAAGGCGGGGCAGGCAAAGAGGTGCTGGACGGATTGGAGGGGATCTCCGCACTCCGGGCAAGCGGCGCTAAGGGAGCGCCCGACCCTGTGGGTGTAGGACACAAGGGAGGTGTAGGACACAAGGGCTGGTTGGGTGGGGGGCAGCTAAGTTTTCCAGATAGTGAGCGGAGAAGGTTCCAGTGTTTTGCCTGGTGAGTTCGTCTGTTGCACGAGGCGAGGTGTGTCTGCCAGGTATTCCTGGCATGGGCTTGTATAGAAGTGGTGATTTCTAAGTTGAGTTCAGGGAGCTGGGGTTCGTTAGGGTTGTGCGCCCTGATGTCATCCCGTTGCTCCATGAGCAACCGGGTGCCAGGGCTGACTGCAGGGGAGAACTCCTTTCAGAAGCCCGCAGGGATGTGCTGCTTGGCAGCAGCCGCCAGGACGCCCCTAAGGGTCAACTTGCCTCCGCACGAGGTGGGGGGAGGGACTGCCTCGAGCGCTGCTTCAACTGCTGCTGTGTAGGCATGCTAGTCCACTTTCTTAAAGTTAGTATAGGAGCAGGCAGACCGTGGAGCCAGGGACTCCACGGCAGGAGGTAGATGAAGCAGGATGGGCAAATGGTTGGAATTTAGGGCGACTTGAGGAGCCCATGAGGTGCTGAGTAGTAGCTGCCCAGTGATGATGGCCAGGTCAGGTGAGGAGGGCAGACCGTGGGAGGGGAGGCGGGTCGGCGAATCCTCGTTGAGGAAGGCTAAGGGGGAGCCAGAGATGACGTCGTCGATGGTGATCCCTCTCGCTGCTGCTCTCTGGTCCTCAGTGTGGGAGAACCAGGAGGGGTGATTGGCGTTGAAGTTGCCCACTATCAGACAATTGTTCGGGATGGTGACAATGTCAGAGAGGTCCGGGAAGTATCTCAGGGGGCATGAGGTGGCTGGTGGGATGTATGTATTGATAATACAGAGAGGGGAGCCATTGAGCGGAGTGGAGATGACTATGGCCTCCATGGTGGCGTCACCACGCAGGAGGGGAGAAATATCACGCCCGGTGTACTGGATGTCGTGACGGATCAGGATTAGAAGACCGCCACCGTGGCCACCGGGACGGTCCCTACGCTCCAGCGTGTATCCAGGAAAAGAGGGAGGGCGGGAGGCCGCTGAGAGCTTCGTCTCCTGGATGCAGGCAATTGCAACATCGTGCTGTGCGAGGAAGGCAGCCAGTTTGACTGCGCTGGATTGGATCCCATTGCAGTTAAACTGGAGGACGCAGAGGCAAGTGGAGGCAAGCACGGGGGGAGGCCGTTGGGGCGAGGGGGGAGGGGGTCTGGGTGGGCTCGGGTCAGGCCGTCTGCACGTAGGGCAGATCCAGTCCGCAGAGTAGTGGTGAATGGAGCAAAGGCCGGAGCACCGCTTGTGGCACCAGGCGTTGGTCATGGAGCACCGAAACGAGTAGCACTGCCATGTGACCGGGAGGGAGCAGACTGAGCAGGGGTCCTGGCCAGGGTTGGGATGGATACCCTGGGTAAGGAGAAGAAGGACGAATAGGAAGAAAAGATGGGAGGAGAGAAGGGCATAGGGTGTCCCAGGAAAGGTAGGCAGCCAAAGATGTGGGTAGGGGGAAGCGGAGGCCGAGGTTCTCCTGCCCTTAGGGGAAAAAATGATGGAGCCTCCGACCAGTAGTGATCTGGGCGGGGGGGGCTCTGCCGTTTGGCCTGGTCCGCGAGTAAGCCGGGCATCCGTCCGATGCGCTGGCCAGGGTACACCCACGACGCAGACGCGGCAGAGATCGGGGGCCCCATTGTAAGTAAGCAAATTGGCTGGAATATGAGCAAGGCAAGGAAAATTTCCATGCTCACTGACCATGAAACTATTAGGTCATTGCAAGTTGGGTGCCCAGTATTGAAATGTTTGCACAAGCACTTGAAGAAGAATGTCCAAGCCAGGTCTTGGCCAGGTTAAATTAAGAAATTTTCATGATATGCATCCAAATTGTCAATTGACCATGGCATACTTGTATTTAATGACACAGAACCAATTGCTGTGGTGCCATTTAAGAATCTTGTAGGGTTGATCTTAACATTGCATGTGGAACTTGCCCATGTGGGCCGTGATAAGTTGCTAGAATTGATAGGACGTCTTGTATGGCACGTTTCTTGTTATCAAATTGTTCAAGATGTCTGTAGCACTTGTCATAGTTGCCAAATTTTGAAAGAATTTTCCACTCAATTCGTTCCACCTACAATTAAGATATGCACAAGCTATCCATTTGAGCTCATGGCAGCTGACTCTTAATCTCATTGCCCAGAACCCCTCAAGGTTATGTGGGATGTCTTGTTGTAGTTGACTACTACTCAAAGTGGCTTGCTGCTGAACCTCTAAAGAACAAGACAAGTGCTGCCATAATTGAAGCTTTCAATTTTCAAATTTTTCCATGCCTTGCTCATATTCCAGCCAATTTGCTTACTGACAATGGGCCAGAGTTCACATCGCATGACTTCCCTAATTTTCTTCTTCAGTCCAATATCAATCACAAGTTGACAACACCCTTCTGTCTGTCCAGTAACGGAGATGTTGAGTGAGTGAATCGTACATTTAAGAATTTTTTGCGCAGTCTGGTGAGCAATGAACTATCTTGGGACATTGTACTGCCAAAGGCTCTTATAGTGTTTAATAATACATTGCACTCAAAACTTCAAATGTCTCCCTCTAGCTTTTATCTAACCAGGGCTCACTGCATCCATGCTGATCCACCTCTGCAAGGTGTCCTGGCGCAGCATTGGAAGAAGGGCCACCCTAAATTCTCAAATTTTGAAGTAGGTTAACTAGTTTTGATGAAAATCCAACATAAGGGGTTTTTAAACATCAATAAGCTCAGTCCTACTTTTAAAGGGCCCTTCCAAGTGAGTTCAGCTAATGATAATGGGCTGACATACCAATTATTAGTCCCGGCGACAGGAGAGGTGATCCGAGCTCACCACACTCAGCTTCGTGGGTATAAGATGCCTCCTAAATATATATCTGATCATCCTGTGTACAGTGAAAAAGTGCACAGAGATCAGGATGATGGAGGGATGGCAATTGACAATGATGTACAAGGTGCAGTGGCAAGTGAGGCTTGTGACCCTGATGTAGCAATAACCCCCATGTGTGATGATTTATTGTCTGTTTCAAGTTGTGGGTCAAGTGTCTCAAGTGTGGTTGTAGTAGTAACTCTCCTCATTCATCTGATGCTGAGGCTGACTTGAGCTCATCATTCTCTGGTTTCAGTGGTCGTTCAGATGATGAAAATTCAGCTGATAGCCTGATACACAACCGAATGTAGGGTTTTGTCAGTTACATCTAGTGGTTCTTTAAATCCCTTAGTATCCAAGTTGTTACAACATGAGTTATGTTGATGTTGCCATTTAGAAACAATCAGTGAGACCCAGGTTCTAAGGCTTTCCACAGCCATGGATGAATGTTCCCATATTCAGTCAAGTCCCATTGTTCAGCAAGTAGAGACCACAATGTCAGGTGATGCTAGACAATCATGTGATTGTACAAATTGACCTTGGATTGGGATGATGACGATGATTTTGATCTCTCTTCCTTGAATTTAGATCTGACGGGTGATGCATCTAAGGAAAGTAATGATCCAGAAGGTGCATTGGCATCTGACCCAGAATTTTTGGCAATGTTTGGCGAGTGGGAAGATGAACCATCAACCAACATTGCTGCCAAACAAGCAATCACTGTGACTCTATTGCTGGAAGCTGGTGCAATTGTTCAGATGGGAGATGCTACACTGTCAGACGCAGGACCCCAAGTGCTCCCAGATGTCAGTGCTAATCACTCATCTCGTGGAAATTCTGAATCACTTTTTGCCGGATTTAGTCCTTGGAAACCAATAGACTGGCGTGCCTCATGTCTGCAAGGAATGCAGTGTTTGGTGCCAATCAGTCACTACAGAGGCGCACCAGATCTAA